AGTGGGACTCAAGTCATGAACATTACAAAAATAGAAATATGAAAAAGGATGCATGGAAAACTATGGTGACAATATGGGGCTATTCGAGGACATTTTACCAACAATACTTGGTGGTCAAAGTTAATTGTCAACAGAAATATTTCTCAAATTGTTGGCGATTTGTTTCAATTCGGTGTAGACACAATCGGAACAAAAGACGGTGAATTTTTAGAGAGTTGTAAAAAGTTGGACAACACAGAAGTTGCCAACAAATTCAGTAGTAATGCACCTTAGATTTTTATTATTATTACCTTCGACCCCTAGCAGAGTTATTCAATTCAAAATTTATGACTTGATTGTTATACTAATTCTTTCTTCTTGCATAATATTTTTTTAAGTGTTATTTTATCTTTTAGTTAACTTAATTATTCATTGTAATTAATTGCTTATATTTTATCAGTTGTAATAAATTGAAGCTATTAAAAATAGCAATGAAATATCTCTGTTAATAAGCAAACCTATTATACTTCGTCGAGCTATCACACTGGCTATACCCATAGAATGCACTATTTAGTTGCAAATAAATTATAATTTATTTATTTTATTGAAAAGTTTGCCAAATTATAGAATAATCCTTATATTATGCTATTATTTTTTAATTCTTTATATATAATTAGTTTTAACAAACCTATCCTACGGGAACCGTACATTTATCCGGGATAAAAATATACGGTTAATGGTTAATGTGTTATTCCAGACTATAATCTATATCTGTGCTAAATTTCATCCAGATCCGTTCAACCGTTCTGGCGTGAAAGAGTAACAATCATAGATACTATCGTACTAATATTATACTAATATTAAATACGGATAATACAGATATATAGCAGTAATGGACTATTAATAAATAAACACGGTTGCTTGAAATCCCGAGTGTAGCGGGCTTAAACTGGGTTTCGCACCTCAGCAATTTCATGTACGAATCATTTATTAACATGATTATCATTAGCTATGATACGGAGAAGGAAAGGAACAAAAGGAAAATAGCATTATGAGGTAACCAGCATGTCTGAGATAACCTAATTAGTATCAGAATATCTGGAAACCATAAGTTGTTGGGATTGAATAATACACACTCAATGAATACATTATCTAGATAACAATATATTTTGTTGTCAACTGCAAACTTAACAACAGACTACAACATAGATGTTTCAACAGAATAATAGCACGAAGTACATGTAGAATTTAAAATATAGTGAATTGTACCAAATTCTAGCTACGTTTATATATAATATATTATTGCACGACAAACTGCCGCGTTGCGCCGAGGACAAAAGAACGAAATTAATATGGACGGCATAGAATATTTAGGATTTTTCCTTTGCTGCGAGCAAAAGGTTGCTTATTTTTCGGGAATAAGATTCAAATATGACTGAGCAACATTTTATATATGAAACATAAATTAAAGATATATGTATGGGTTTCGTAAATTGACCCAAGATGGCGTTTGCAATTTATCCTGAAAATATACTGTCAGTATACGAGTATGACTGATATTGGGTTAATTTACATAACGCATACCTGTCGTCTGACGCTTACATGTTTTTTTTTTAAATAAATATGTAAACACAAAGAGTATGTATGCGTTACTTTTAAACAGACAAAATATTGTTACGATACAGTGAAGAATGTGCAACTCTCCACGACATTAATGCCCGATTTCACCAACAACTCATAAGCTATCACCTACGTATACTCGTAGGATCCCTAGCTTAAAAGTTCCCCTAAACTAGCCCCTAAATAAAATTTCGTTTTACCATCGTCTTTAAGCCCATATTTCGAGCACTTAAATTTAGGAGGCATTTTAACATTTAGGTGACCCCTAACTGTCGGTGAATCATAAACTGTCCCTTAACAGCCCCCTAACCATGCTTAGGGGATCCCTTAAACTTAGGTAACGTTGGTGAAATCGGGCATAAGTTGTCTTACATAAATTATTTTTACTTTGTATAATTTTGGTTAGAATTGACATTATTGAATTTTAAACAAATGTATAAAAATAATTTACTAAACATAAGAAATTAATACGCAGAATATATACATAGTATAAAATATAGTACCTACTTGTATTAGAAAAATCATAAATTATGTGGTTCAATTCAACCTGATTGAATTAACTTTAAAAATGATAAAACTTTTTTCTTTTAATAAATAATATCCTAAGACAATTAATGAACATAATATCCAACTAAAATATCTGTACATACACATTTATGTATAAAATTTTATACCAAAATTACATAACAGGTTAGTTACAAAATGTAAACTATGTGAAGTTGTGATGACCAATGTTTTAGATATTATCAAATTCTAATTTTAAAGCGTAAGTTAAATGAGCGTCCAAAAATGGGTACATATTAATGAATACACGACGAACGTTGTGTAAATAATAGAAACTCCTGAATATATTATAAGAGCAATATTATAATTATAAAAATTGCTCACTTAAATTATAAGGACCCTTCTCTTTATATTTAAACAACATCAAGATCGTTCTTTAATATGTACTCAAATATATATATATATATTTAGAAAAACTTTATGTTTGTATCTGCCGTTATTTTCACACTGTACAGAAATAATTGAGGGACTGTACGCTTTTGGCACTAACTTCATGAAGTATATCTTTTTACAATACATTCAATTATTATATTTACAACTTACGTTTACATATTATGTACATTTACAACTTTAAATGCTTTTCAGATAAAATAATTAGAAGAGATTACATTATATAATTTACAAGATTCAAGTACAAGTGAGATCGCGTTAATAACGATATAGTATAATATCTACAGCAGCTGTACAGAGTCAAAAGCTTTAGCGAAACACACTGATATCTATATGTATTTTATAAATCACGTTTAACATTCAATTAAATATCCATTCATTTTTTAATCTGCCCACTGCAAAATATTATTGGTTCTACTCATTTCTTTCATTAATGTATATTCGTTTTTATACTTAAAAATCCACAGCAGCGATCCATTTTTTTTATCTGATACAGTAACGTGATAGCTTCTGCTCGTATCTGATACATATATCTAGCACAGCAGTGAACAGATTAAATTATCTATCTCGGTATAATCTGATTTTATAAGTTGTACAATATATCATGACCAAGCTTCTAAACAATTTTGAACAGAATTCCCATATGTGATCTACAATAAAGCCGATTGTCTGACTAAAATCTAAAATAAAACTTATTATACTGCTCACATTCACTTATAATCTACGTATTCTGTAATTCAAGAGTGGGCTAAAATCCCTCTCCGCCATAAATCACTTAACTCACCGCTTATCTACCAATGGAATGACATGTTGGCGCATTTTCCCATACTAATCAAACTGAAATGTCTAACTAGATGTTTTATTGTACCTTTAATTCTTAAGTCTGAATTAGTGTAAATGTAGATTTATCTACAAGATGAGTATATATTTAATCATTAGTTAATAAATTACAGTTTGCTTACATGGACGCCATGCTGCAAGCTCTGCTCTACTGATGATGACATGATTGCCTCTAGGGCTCCTACTTACCGTCGACAACGACCTGATGAGATGACAATGCTCCGAACCGAATGCAACTTTGATGGCACATGGACCGCTCGATTTGATATGATTTTAATTATTAACTTTATTAAAATTCTTTAAAAAGCTTCATTGAAAATATATTTTTGTAAATCTAAATTGAAACCCGCAGTAGATTGGGATTGCAAGACTGGAGTTGACGATAAATTTTACGTTATAATATGTTCTAGTTGAACAGTTAATTTTATTCGTAAGACTGTATTTGTTTTTAAACAACAATTTACTGGAATAAGTAGATATTAATTATGAAACGTTCTAGTTATGTTAACAAACTGCAGAATTGCAATCCGTTGTTTTGAATTTGAATCATAGAGTTTTGACTTTGAAATGACGCAAGTGAACCAATGACATCACATGACATGCAATGTACGCGCCAAAGCTCTAATCGAACTCTAGTGACCACTACCTATGAGTATTTAACCCATCCTACAATCTTTGGTGAATTATTACGTAGCACCATTGCCCATCTATTAAACATTAGCAGAACTATGTTACCTTCGATTTTTACAACTCTAGTTCTATTGAAATTTGTTGCGAATTGTATCAAAGTGCCTAAACTGCAGGTTTTGCTTGTGACTTATTCAAATGTGATTTACTTTAATGTATTAAATTACAATCGTTAAAAGTATGAGATTTCTTATAAAATTCAGTCACAGACTACCGGTAAAATTGGTAATACTACATTCTAGAAAAGAATTTCAAAAATTTAGAGACTACCCGTAAAATCCCGTGGCATAAAGTGGGACGTTTTTGAAGAATCATTTAATTTTGGGCAGTGTACTTGGATAAAAATTTTCAAGTTTCTGCAACATTTTGTCAAGTTTTCTTTTTATATTTAAAAGTTTATCAGCCTCCCTTGTGCCATTAATTTTGTATAGCCTACATTTAAGTACCTGCGTCTCATTTCAGTCCGTTGCAACGTCAGGATAGGATTGGTTGTTGTGCATCATCTATTTCCACGTATTCCTCTGTAGAGTGAACATATTTCGACATCGTCGCTAATCACTCGGCACGCTTTCGATATTTTCTACCTAATTTGGTTACTTCACACTAGAGCCATAGTAAACGAACATTTCCTCTGTTATTCCTACTAATTACTGACATTCAAGTTCTTACAATATTGCTTAGAAATGAAAACAATACTTCATTCCATTTTCATAAACTACAACTTCATTGAAGTATGAAGAAAATTAAGTAGAATCTCAAGTGGTGCCGACGTGTTCAGTGCCGAGAAGATGTTCAGAAGAGCATGTGGCAGCGCAGGTTGGAGTTGGCTATTCCGTGGTGTGCGCGGTGAGGTCGACCTCCGACGTCGCGGTGCCCAGCGCGGCCGGAGGATCGCTGGCGGGGAGGGAAAGTAGATGTTAGGCCTCCAAAAAAATTAAAGCCGTTGGCTTTGGTTCCAAATTTGATTTCTTCGCTTCGACGACCAAAAACTCTATTTCCTGTAAATTCAGAAAGGGTAATAAGAATAAGGTTTAAATATTATTTATATTTATTGAAAATGATGATTTTTTAATTAATATCTTATGTGATATTTTATATGATTTAATGTACCGGTTTATCTCTTTGCGCGAACGATTCTGCTATAAGCCGAGCCACTTCTTGGTGTTGCATCCCTTCTACTCGATGTCCGTCTACCGCCAGAATTAGTTGTCCAACTTCCAAGCCGCCTGCCTCGTACGCCGAACCATGCTCCTAGAAAATTTAAATTAAGTTTTATTTTAAAAATAGAGGCCATGCCGTACGCATAATAATAATCTTGTCAATGTTGTGGCGCAGTGGATTGAATCAGGCTGCGATAGAAGTGGTAAACACCGAAGCAGAAGAATACTTTTTTATTGCTTTCCCATCTAATCAAATAACAACGTTTGTGACGGTAGTGGTCACGATTATAATATCGGTCTAAAATGGAGAAAGTCGGTACTGGGATGACCTTTCAGTAAAACAAATTAAACCACAAAAACTTACGTGAATATTGATTATTCTGGGCAATGGATGCTTAGTATTAGCACCACCTTCGATCGCGATGCCAAGGATAGGTTTGGTCTTCTTCACAGAGATTTGCAGGTTTCCATGGTGATCGGGAACGACTCGCGCCGCTCTGCCTTCGTCGATCGTCGCGTCCCCATGTTGCAGGCGCTGCATAGACTGGTGCCTGCGGATCCCACCTCGATCCTCAAGTAAAGCACCACCTTCTTCTTTCATGTCGAAGCTACGTGACAACTTGTGGGCCAATTCCTGTCGATATGACTTACTTAAAACGTTCTTTTCGAAATTTCGATTGGTGGTTTAACTTTTAGTAGTTACTTTACAGAGGTTCTTAGTTTCGATTGTTTTGACATTCTATTTTTATATTATTATACTTGATTTTTAAATCCCTAGTCTATTTACCACATTTACGCTAATATTATTATAGCACTACGCTAAGACAGCAACAATATATCAGCCTCTAATTACTGAGTGCTCTAACTAAGGACAGTGTAGCTGGGCGGCATAGGGCAGTAACTCGCAACAGCTTTGCTAATACTTTGGCTCACACGTACAACCTTGTGCCTCTCAGTTACTTAAATGTCAATGATTTTTACATCAAATGTATCGGGAAGCTGTAAGTGAGATGTGAGCTGGAGGCTTGGAAACATGCGTTTCGATCACTCGGTGGCGTGGTACAAAGGTTATTTTACAAGTGTAGGTTATGTCTCATGAGCAGATTTTTAACCAATTAGCGCACCTATGCAGCGGCTCCAGAACATAAAAATTATAGCGAATTTAAAATTTTTAAATTAAATAAAGCTGTCGCATACGATTTCTTTAAATAATAAGTGTTTAAAGGTAAGAACTGTTCGTTTTGTTATCATGCAAAAGGAAATTAAAAAATGTTTTGCTATTGTTTACCACGACCCACGGTAATACGGGTATTTCAGTACGTATTAAGGACAAATGTTATATAATGAGTCGCTGAAACTAATTTAATTGAAATTGAACTAAAATTTTCATGCAGTTTTACCCAGTAAAAACATTACCTCTACTGACTAAATTAATGAAAAAATAACCGAACAATTGTGCGTAACTATTCTGAATTTTAATGAGAAAACAAAAAATTAAAATTTAAAATAAACACCGAAATGAAGTGCTATGAACGAGAAGATAGTGAAAACATATAAGTTTAACTTCTAACACCAAGCATCGTTCCGTTTATAAAGCGAGAATTTGGAATAGAAGATTTAATTTTTTAATATCGTGCATAAGAAAGATTGGTCAATGTGCTAGGACAGTTTGCCGATTTTTCTGTCGGCGGGAGGCCGGGCCACTTACTAGAGGTCGTCCCCAGTACCATGATTTTACTTTCTGCGTCCAGCCACCGAGTGATGAGCGCAGTCCCTCGAGATAGCCGCACTGAAACATCACACTCACTCAGCGCCTGATGCTCTCCCTCTCGGACAGTCGGGCGCCGCCTTGTTATGACCCACACGCGCTATGCCCATCGCCCATAGCCAGATACTCACAACTTAAATCAACCCCAGTGCCAACTATCCATAACTTAACAAACTCTAGACTCTACGGGTCACTCCCTAATTAAATGCAGGATTTTACGGGAAACTAGAAAATTGAATCTAAATTATAGGTAATGTTTTTGTATGAATATACCATTGATGAAATATTTTGGCTCAAATTAGCACTCAATTCAAACATTCAACCCAATAACATTGCACACATAGCGATATCTACATCTAAAAATATTTATAAATATAATCAAATTGCTGGCCAAGCTTTAAAAAGAATTTAAATCCATTTTGTTATAATTAAAACTATGAAGTTAAAAGTTATTCTAGATATAAGTTATTACCCGTATCTATGAACTTAGGAAATACGTACCTGATCCTTTATTGAGGTTAGTAGATTGCATGAAACAAAAAATACATATTTAGGTTTAGTTTTTGCGACTGGAAAAATCAGCTAGTAAAATTGTCATTGCTTAATAACAAGAAGTGAGATTTGCTAACTTTCGAGTCGTGCAACAATTTAGCCCATTGTATTTGGTTGTCATGTCGACTTTTCACCGATTGTAGCGCCTGTTTCGGTTGTGTTAACTAAACACAATGATGTCTTATTGTAGAATCGTCTTTCTTTTGAAAATTGTAGACACGAATATGATATACCTACCATCCGTGAGAAATAAGTTATTGCATGACCTACAATTAGATAACCAAAAAACGGCTCATTTCGGAGTAATTAGCAAATTGAGCAAAGTATTATTCATCGATTTTTGATAATATTTTATTAGATTTACGTGAAATCCGACATTTTATATACAAAAATTTTCTCGGTTTTCTTTTCAATTTGAGTTTTTGTTCCCGACGTGAGTCTGTGCGTAAATATAGTCTCATCTAAAAAGTTATCTTTTCCATCTCCCGATCTTTCTGATTTATCTGATCTTTTTTTTTGTGGATTTATAATTTCAAATGAAAGAATACATAGGTACATTTTTATTTCCATAATTGCAAGGAATGTTGACATGACGAGATAGTTATTTTAACCAATATCTGATTATCTGAGCCCTGGCTGACACGGTGCGCCTCGTTAGTCTCTTCTATAAACAAGGCGATAGTATCGCAACACGCGCCCGTTGCGATACCATGCCGCTCGCAATTGCCAGGTGTTTCTATTTTATTCCCACAGAAAAGCCTGTATCAATATACTATAAATACCTGATCGCATGTTTGTGCTTGAAATAATTTATTAAACAATAAGATATCTGACGTCTGTGCATGCAATGAAATTCAACTTGTTTAAACATTTTTGCTTTTTCTTCTTTTTATAATATCAATTACCAACCATTTATATATTTCACTAGCATTGCTCGCGGCTCCGCCCGCGTTCAGATGACCAAAAACGAAATTCTTAGGTTTTATATATTAGTATACTCTTACATTGCAGTTTTTGTATTCTCTCTCTTAAATGAGATATTTTCCCGCGGTAACAAATATCCTATATGTTGACCCGGATAACCAGCTACCATCACACCAAATTTCATCAAAATCCCTCCAGTGGTTTTCTCGTGATGCGTCCCCAGACAGACAGACATAAATTCTAAAAACTATAGATTCGGCCTCTGTATCGACAATAATGTCTATTTCAATAAGATTCTCCAAAAAATATTTAATGTACAGATTCGGCTTAGTTACAATTTTATTATATGTATAGATTAGAATGCTTACTTTTATAAAATAAAGTAATAACATTAATAATCTATAGGGTATTTTCTTTCAAAACCAAATGTAGAGTCCTATGTCTGGTTTAATATTAAATATACTTAGAAATTATACACTATGAAAACAAAACAAACAAAAATCTTAACCTAAAACGAGCAAAAATAATTTAAATAATGAGCTCTTGATTTATATTCATTTTATTGATATTAAGCAATTGTGTCCTAGTTCCCAGGATCCTTTCAAAGTTAGAGTTGCTCTTAACAAGGCACTCGAGACTTGGGGTGTAACGGTAATATGCTATAACTTGAGATGTAGAACGTATGTAGACATAATACATATTTTGATTTATACTTACAAGTAATTTTGAAAAATGAAATCACTTTAATCACACTAAGGCTTAAGTCTTCGGTAGGAATAAAATATACGAGTAACTTCATAGGTACATGTGCTATTTGAACCAAATTCATGACATGGTATACCTACTTTCAAATACTTTTCTTTATTAATATTCAACTTCTATACAATTATATTATAAAACTGATATTAATTTTATAAATGCGAAAGTTTGTAAGGATGTATGTGTGTCTGGATGTATAGATGTACAAATGCTTGTTATTTTTGTTGTGATTTTAATAAAACTTTAGAATAATATAGCTCATACATACATCAGAATAACACATAGACAACTTTTTACTCGGAAAAATGTACGGTTCCCGTGGGATAGATTTGTGTATATAATATAAAAATATATATATAAATATTATTATATAAATATTTCAATACTTAGAAAATAAAAGAATATATAGCAAAATATAATTTGTGACCGCTTTATCATATACATATTCGAAACTTATTAAACCGTTATTCTATAGATAACCTCAGACGTGAGTTGACTATACTCAAATAACCTTATCTAAGCCACAATGCGTAGTCAATTATGAATGATATTACAAAACTTTATCTCTGTGGCGAATCAAAACATCCGTTAGGTCATTAAGGATTTATCAAAAATCAAGTAACTTCTATCTAGACATGTATTGCACAAATATTTTGCTATCTATATACATAAAATTCAAAGTCCTGACTCCTGACTGACTGATATGATGATAACACTAAACCGCTGGTCCACTAATGCACGAACCCAATAACTTATATCAATCCATTTTTGACCATCTGATATAGAAATCTTAATACATTTGTTACAAAAAGTGTGCCAATAACCAATCGACGGATTGTAATAGCCATCTGTCGATACAAGATATCCATGAGAGGTCGGATCGGTGTCTGTAGATAGACTTCTTTATGAAACTTACAGTTCAAATAATCTAATAATCCTTAGATTTTAACAGATAGTTTAATGGCTTTTTTGAAATTCCACCCTAAGATGGTGTAGTAATGGGAGGTTGAACTTTCTGTGAAACTTTTTATTCTCTGGATCAATTGACTCGATACTCTTCAATTAAAATGACGACAAACGTATGTTACAGTTTTTCCAAAATCATCTCCCAATAGACTCAAATAGGGCTTCGAAAATCCTACACGGCATCGTAGACGGACGCATGGCATGAACGTGGCGCAAGACGTGCGGGGGAGCGGGGGTGTTTCTGTATTAATTACTTATAATATAAAGCCAAAGAATTTGTTTCTTGTAGTTTTAACGCGAGCGAAGCCGCGGTTCTGCTAGTAAAATATATTATGAAATATCTATTTCTATCAAATATGTTTTTTTTGGTTCAATGACGCTACTTAAAGAACTGTACATAAATAAGGCGTTATCTGTTTCATAATAAATTGATGTTATTTCACAAAGTTACGAAGAATACATCAAAGTAAGGAAAATAAACCTTCAAAAACAATTTTTATCTATATTTGGATATAAGGTTGTTAGTCTTAATTTTATCATATCATTAAAGTCAAAATACTGTACATAGTAAGTAGTATGATTTTGACAGTGAATTCCTATAATGACAGGTAAAGAGTATTTTTTAAAATACAACGCTCAAACGATTGAAAGAAGGAGGAAAGGGGTTTAACCGCGTATCTACTAATAGTCATTTTTCTATAGAATCTGGCAAATTCGCCATATTTTTGCCTTAAATTAGTATTCATAACATATACCTACTGGACATTTAAAAAATTAAAAATAAAAAGCTAAAAGTCACGTTTTCGAGATATCTTGGGTAAAGATCACTTAAATGAGAACTATGGAAACTATTATTTCAATACAACTAACAGATATTACTTTCATTGTTACCCGACTGCGGCAAAGCCCAAAGGAGGGTTATGTGTTTATATTTGATGTTATCTTTGTTTTCGGTGATACCAATACGGATGCGCGAGAAGTACCAACTAACAAGTTGATAATGTAAAAATAATGTAGAAAGGGTATGTCAAAATGTAATTAAAAATTGAAAAATGAAAAGAAAACGAATACTTTGCAGGAAAAACTGTCAAATAAATGGGCTATATAAAAAAAAACTAGTTATATAAAAAAGATAAACACTGAACCATACAGAGCATGCAAAGGGAGAGCCGTACTTTGGATTGGGGATGGCGTGTATACTATCCATAATTTTAAAAAGTACTCAATTTAGAAAATCACCGTGCACGTCGAAGGCTGACCACCGGGGTTGATCGATCGATGATACTCGCTGGTCTTATGTATAACGTAATTGTAATGATTTAAAAAGCAAACATGAATGCAATAGAAATTACTTTTAAGTCTTAAAAGCACTTCAATGACATGAAGTAAACGTGGTTTAGTTGCTTACTTAGAGTTGACATTGTGAAAACTACAATATTTCAAAATCGCAGAACGTGTGTATTTGAAGACGACGCAACAGTCTGACTAGGAGTCAACGTTGTGCTAATATTACTTAAAAGAAAATGATGCAAGTTATATAAGTATCGTAATTTCATATTTTAGCTTTAGTTATGAAGTGTGTCGTGAAACATAATAACTTGCTCAACTGGCGTAGCAAATTTCACCGAAGGTTACTAGTTCGATCCCTCGGAGATTAAGTATCTTTATTAGCCATATGTTGGCCTCGGTAATCGAGGACTTAGACAAAATATTTTATTTCTTCATTCTACATACGTTAAAGAATAGGAATTCAAAATAATATGGGAATGTAATGTAAACGAAAAATCTGAGAGTAACAATACACTTTTTTGTATATTAATACAATTTTT